GCACTCTCCGGCGGCTCCAACATCAGAACCATCGCCGTCCGCATCATCACAGGGCGGTGGTTTGTGGTGTTCGCTTCACTTCTAATCATGGCGGCCGCCGGCGCCACTTACATGTTCAGCCTATATTCCAACGACATAAAGTCGGTTTTAGGTTACGACCAAACGACGTTGAATTTGCTGAGCTTTTTCAAGGATTTGGGTGCAAACGTCGGCATTTTATCTGGCCTTATCAATGAAGTTACGCCGCCGTGGGTGGTTCTATCCATCGGCGCTGTCCTGAATTTCTTTGGTTATTTCATGATTTGGCTCGCCGTTACTAAGCGGATCTCGACGCCGAAAATTTGGCAAATGTGTCTCTATATTTGTGTTGGCGCTAATTCTCAATCATTTGCTAATACCGGTTCGCTCGTTACTTGTGTCAAGAACTTTCCAGAAAGTCGAGGCGTCGTTCTTGGTAAGTGATTATTAATATTACGAGAAAAAAATCACATTTTTATTATTTATTATTTTAGTGTCAGTATGACAAAATCGAGAATAAACCCGATCCTCAAAATTAGATGTATTGTAAAATCACAACTTTTAGCTTATTCCCTCCTACGTTCAATCGTGTAAAATTGTCAGTTACAACGTGCGAGATTCTCGAGTAATTTTTCAACGAAAATCGAACAGTATATTCTGTTTTTTCCAAACATTCACACGAAACTTGTGTGTCTGAATGTTCGAGTGAATTTAACCTAACGAATTAAATTCATATTTAATGTGTTTTCCCAAATTCAAGGGTTCACCAAATTTTGATTTTGAAAGCTCCCCATTTAAAGTATAAACGTAATTTCCACTCGATTTTTAATTAATTTAAATTAATATACTTTTGCTATCCATTTTTTTTTTTATTTTTAATTTTCCAATTTCTTTTATTTCCTATTATTTATTATTAATTTTTATTTCATTTCCATCCCCATGATGCCCATTTGAAATATTTGTGATATTTTAAATAAAATATTATTTTTAAATATTTATTTAGTTAAACTTTATACTTTATCTAAAAAAAAATATCTCTAAATTTTTTAAAATCCCAATAATACCCTTACACTTTAAAAAAAATTAAAAAATACTTTTACTCTAATATTTTATTTCAAAATTAACCCTTAACTTTTAAAAGATTTTTAATTAATTTAAATTAATATTTTTTTATTTTTTTGAATTTTTTTATTTTTAAATTCATGGGCTTCTTTTTAAATAGTCTTTTTTTTAGTTAAAAATATTTAAAATTAATATTAAAAGTTTTATTTTTTAAAAATTTAATTATTTATTTGAATTGTGAACAGGTATCTTAAAGGGGTATGTCGGGCTGAGCGGCGCCATAATTACGCAGCTCTTCCACGCATTCTACGGCTCCGACACCAAATCCTTAATACTCCTAATCGGATGGCTTCCGGCGGCCATATCCTTCGCATTTTTACGAACAATTCGGATCCTTAATACTCCTAATCGGATGGCTTCCGGCGGCCATATCCTTCGCATTTTTACGAACAATTCGGATCATGAAAGTAATCCGACAGCCAAACGAGCTCAAAGTCTTCTACAATTTCCTCTACATTTCACTCGCCCTCGCCGGATTCCTAATGCTAATGATCATCATAGAAAGCAAATTAATATTCACCCAAGCCGAATTCGGCGGCAGCGCCGCCGTCGTTCTCCTCCTCCTCTTCCTCCCTCTCGCCGTCGTCATCGTCGAAGAATACAACCTCTCTAAACTCAAATCCGCCGCCATTAATCCCCCAAACCCACTTCAAATCCTTACAGAGAAACCCAATCCCCCAAAAACAGAGCCCCAAAATTAATCCCCCAAACCCACTTCAAATCCTTACAGAGAAACCCAATCCCCCAAAAACAGAGCCCCAAAAACAAACCCGACAACAAAAACAACCATCTTGCTGGACAACAATCTTCAACCCGCCGGAACGCGGCGAGGATTTCACAATTCTTCAAGCTCTGTTCAGTATGGACATGGCGATTCTGTTCTTCTCTGCAATTTGTGGCGTCGGCGGAACTTTGACGGCGATTGACAATCTGGGTCAGATCGGAATGTCATTAGGATACCCAAAAAGAAGCATTAGCACATTCGTGACACTCGTTAGTATATGGAATTACCTCGGACGTGTCGCCTCTGGTTTTGTCTCTGAAATTGTTCTAACAAAATACAAATTCCCACGTCCTTTAATGCTTTCTTTAACGCTTCTTTTGTCATGTGTCGGTCATTTGATCATCGCCTTCGCCGTTCCAAATGGGCTTTATGTAGCTTCAATCGTGATCGGATTCTGTTTCGGAGCGCAGTGGCCGTTGCTTTTCGCCATAATTTCCGAGCTATTTGGGTTGAAATATTACTCTACGCTTTACAATTTCGGGTCGGTGGCTAGTCCGATTGGATTATACGTTTTGAATGTGAAAGTGGCCGGGAATTTGTATGACAAAGAGGCGGCGAAGCAGCTGGCGGCCAAAGGGCTTGTGAGAAAAACAGGGGAGGAGCTGAAATGCTACGGCGGAGAGTGTTTTAAGCGGTCGTTTCTTGTGATTACCGGAGTTACTTTGTTGGGTATGTTTGTTTCGTTGATTTTAGTGATTAGGACGAGGGGTTTTTACAAGAGTGATATTTATAAGAAGTTTCGAGATGAAGCTGAAGCAGAGGTGGTCGGAAATGGCGCTGTGGTGGCCACCGGAGCGCCGGAGGAGACAAGGAACCGATAGGGGTGTGTTTGGCGGGAAAGAAAATGGGGTGAAATCCGCCGGAGCGGCGGCGGAGACGAGGAACCGACAGGGATGGGTTTGGTTTGAAAGTGAAAATTTTTCTTGTCCTTTGTCGAAACATTAAAATTTCCGAACTTGTGAGAAAATAATTTACATGTTTCATCACCAAGTTTCTAATTGATATTATTGTAATTTTCATACTTAATTATGTACTAGAACCCATTATCTATAAAAATTAAAAAAAAAAATAATTTAAAGGGTAAAATTGTCATTTACTAATTACAATCCTAAAGGTAGTTCGATAAAATTTCAGCAATCATTTATGCCAATTTTACGTGTTGCTGCATATAAATTAAATTTTAAAACAGTAAACGAATAGATAATAATAAATTTAATTATATCAACACAAATTAGAAATATTGGATTGCGGTGAATTTAGTCCTTAATTATCATTCTTATTTTTATTTTTAATGAAAAAAAATTGAATAAAAAAATGAATCTTGGGAAAAGGTCCACAAAATTTGCCCACCAAGGCCCAATATTTATTTTTGAATTATAAATATATATAAATTTATATAATTAATTTCAAGTAGCTGTATCGATGTACGATGATCATGGGCAAGTGTTATATTGCCTTTGTAAGAAGTCGTCTTAGTTCAGTTGGTAATTTAGAATCTAGTTGTCTTAGCTCAGTTGGTAAAGCATATGGGTTTTAACCATTTGGTTGTGGGTTCGATTCCCATAGACGGCGACCTCTCTAGTCTAGTGCGCGGGAGTGTTTCTATTATCTTGAGGGTGAGAGGGAAAGATCATGACGTCACGGGCTAGTGTTGTTGTTGTTGTTGAGTGTGTTTTCGGCAAGTGTTGTTGTTGTTGTTGAGTGTGTTTTCGGCATGGGGCTATAAAAGCGAGTGTTATGTTGTTGTCTCAATAAACTATGATTTAGAGATTTAGAACCTTTTAAGGAGCCGTCTTAGCTCAGCTGGTAGAGCGTATGGTTTTTAACCATGTGGTAGTGGGTTACAAATGGCGTATGGTTTTTAACCATGTGGTAGTGGGTTACAAATGGCGTCCTCCATGATGAGCGTTTGTTTCTATTTTTCCTTTTCGGCATAGGCTAAAAGTGAGTAGTGAAGACCATGACATTTAGGCCAGTGTTATATTGTCTCAATAAGCTATGATTTAGAGATTTAGAACCTTTTAAGGAGTCGTCTTAACTTAGCTGGTAGAGCACATGGCTTTTAACCATGTGGTTGTGGGTTCGATTCTCACAAACGGCGACCTCTATTGCGCGAGGATGTTTCTGTTGGATGATGAAAGTCCCACATCAGCTAATTTAGGGAATGATCATGGGTTTATAAGTGAGGAATACTAACTCCATTGATTGAGGCCTTTTGGGGAAGCCCAAAGCAAAGCCATGAGAGCTTATGCTCAAAGTGGACAATATCATACCATTGTGGAGAGTCGTGTTCGTCTAACATGGTATCAGAGCCATGCCCTAAACTTAGCCGTGTCAATAGATTGGCAAATCCTTAAATGTCGAACAAAGGACTCCAAAAGGAGTCAAGCCTCCTCGAAGGTACGAAGGCAGTCAAAAATGACTAAGACTCCAAAGGAGTCGAGGCAGTCAAAAATGACTAAGACTCCAAAGGAGTCGATCCTCGATTAAGGGGAGGCGTGCTTTGTTCNCCGTGTCAATAGATTGGCAAATCCTTAAATGTCGAACAAAGGACTCCAAAAGGAGTCAAGCCTCCTCGAAGGTACGAAGGCAGTCAAAAATGACTAAGACTCCAAAGGAGTCGATCCTCGATTAAGGGGAGGCGTGCTTTGTTCNTAAATTTTAAAACAGTAAACGAATAGATAATAATAAATTTAATTATATCAACACAAATTAGAAATATTGGATTGCGGTGAATTTAGTCCTTAATTATCATTCTTATTTTTATTTTTAATGAAAAAAAAAATTGAATAAAAAAATGAATCTTGGTTAAAGGTCCACAAAATTTGCCCACCAAGGCCCAATATTTATTTTTGAATTATAAATATATATAAATTTATATAATTAATTTCAAGTAGCTGTAACGATGTACGATGATCATGGGCCAGTGTTATATTGCCTCAATAAGCTATGATTTGATAGTATTTAATCACCAGTAAGCTTCGATTGAGAACCTTGTAAGAAGTCGTCTTAGCTCAGTTGGTAACTGCCAGTGTTATTTTATCTCAATAAGCTATGATTTAGAATCTGTTCAGAAGTTGTCTTAGCTCAGTTGGTAAAGCATATGGGTTTTAACCATTTGGTTGTGGGTTCGATTCCCATAGACGGCGACCTCTCTAGTCTAGTGCGCGAGAGTGTTTCTATTATCTTGAGGGTGAGAGGGAAAGATCATGACGTCACGGGCTAGTGTTGGTTGTTGTTGTTGTTGTTGAGTGTGTTTTCGGCATAGGGCTATAAAAGCGAGTGTTATGTTGTTGTCTCAATAAACTATGATTTAGAGATTTAGAACCTTTTAAGGAGTCGTCTTAGCTTAGCTCAGCTGGTAGAGCGTATGGTTTTTAACCATGTGGTAGTGGGTTACAAATGGCGTCCTCCATGATGAGCGTTTGTTTCTATTTTTCCTTTTCGGCATAAGCTAAAAGTGAGTAGTGAAGACCATGACATTTAGGCCAGTGTTATATTGTCTCAATAAGCTATGATTTAGAGATTTAGAACCTTTTAAGGAGTCGTCTTAGCTTAGCTGGTAAAGCCATGTGGTTCGATTCCCACAAACGGCACCTCTATTGCGCGAGGATATTTCTATTTTCCGGCCAGTTTTATATTGTTGTCTCTATTAGCTATAATTTAGAATCTTCCAAGAAGCCATCTTAGCTCAGTTGGTAAAGCGCATGACTTTTCCTTTTCGGCATACTTTAGAGCGGCCAGTGTTATATTGTTGTCTCAATTAGCTATGGTTTAGAATCTTCCAAGAAGCCATCTTAGCTCAGCTGATAAAGCGCATGGCTTTTAACTATGTGATCGTAGGTTTGATTCCCACATACAGTGAGCCTTGTTGCAAGCATGTTTCTATTTTCCTTCGACATACATGACATCTCGGTGTTTCTTCGATTGAGAATCTTTTATTTAGTAGAGCGCATGGTTTTTAACCATGTGGTGGTCATGGGGTTCGATTGCTAGTGACCTCTATTTCAAGGTAACTGGTAGAGATCTCGAGCCACAAAGCACGGATTTTAACCTACCTAGAAAGTGAAAGAAGAAAAAAAGAATACTAAAATTTTGAAATAATCTCAAATACCCTTTAACTTTGCAATATATAATCCAACTTAATTTAACCATATAAGCTTCATAAAACTCTTTTCTCCTTTTCTATAACGTCAATAAACCACTATTATTTGTGACTATATACAAACCTACTAAAATTTGCACACATAAGAACATCGGCGGCGACCACGGCGGCGATACTCTATTACCGTCGCCTTTAAATATCATTCCGTAAAAGTCATCCTCACCACCACCGCTATTTCCATACATCGGGCTATTATTAATGACAGTGCCGCCGCCATATCCGCCATTACCGCCGCCATTGCTGCCGCTAAATCCTGGATATACAATCCCTTCACCATTACTAAACCTGCAAATCAACGAACAAATTAAAAAAAAAATCAAAATTAAGTTTAATCAAATTAAATAAAAGAAGTATTTTCCACGTGGAAATGGAAAATCTCGACAAACCCTCAACCCTTAAAGGAAAAAGGGTACCACTTTCATGCTTTGATGACGTGTTAAAAGTTTATGAAATTGGTGTTATTATGTGTCCCACTTGGCTTTAGGGATGATATTTTAAGTGGGGTTGAGTTTAATTTTAAAATTCTTTAAAAAAATTATAATTTTTATGTTATGTCGTGATAGATACCCCGACATTTAATTTTGTGTTAAATAAATTTAATATTTTAAATATTTTAAAATTTTTAAAAATGTCTACTTTTCAATACCTAAAGTCTCCCGACATATTTTTAATTTTTAAAATTAATAATAGACATAAAACTAGATTTTGTGTCAATGTAGAATAAATTTTTTTTATTAAAAGGATTTATTAAATATTTTTAAAATTTTGGAAAATTATATATATATTATTGTTGATTTGTTTTTTATTGTGCTTGATATTTATTTTTTAAAATTTGTATACAATAAAATTATAAATTTTAAGATTATGTTAGATAATAATTTTTTTTAGTTTTTTTATAAAATTCAATAAAATTAAAAGTTTAAAGATATTTTTGAAGATTTTAAAAAAATTTAAAGCTCTCTTTTGAAAATTTAAGAGTATTTTTTAACTCTTTAAAAATTAAAATTAAAAATATTAACTATTTTTATTAAAAAGTTTAATAATATTTTTAAAAATTATTTAAAAATTTAAGAGTATTTTTTAAAAAAATAAAATGAAAAATATTTAATTTACCTTGGGGCACCCAAAACGCCAGCGTTCATAGTGAGCTAAAAAATAAAATGAAAAATATTTAATTTACCTTGGGGCACCCAAAACGCCAGCGTTCATAGTGAGCTGATTGATAAGAGCCACCGACTTAGGCTCAGTACTGGAGGCTTTACCGTACTGGGTGCTAAGTCCGGCACCGGACGGCACAAAAAAAGCGCCATTCACCAAAATATCACCGTCCGTCCGCCAATTCCACGCCGTCCATTCCGTCTCCGCCGCATCTAAACGTCTCGTCACCTGTTATTATCAAAAATTTAAAAATTTTAAAACCCAGCCGTCACCGCCAAAATTCCACCGGTAGTCCCTTTAGATTCCGGCCCCTCCCTCCAAGTCCTGCCAAAAACACGAAAAGAAAGAACGGAAAGGGATGGCCCATTAAGAAATGGTGATTTGTTGGCAGCGCGTCAACGTCATGCGCCGCCCCAAGCATGTGGGATAAGGAATCTAATCCTTCCTTTCCCATGCATTCCTCCGCTTCACACATTCCTCAACTCAAAAGCTCGGCCCATGAGCGGCGCCGCCCCTTTTCCTATTTTAAGAATCTTTATTTTTTTTAAAATTTTTGTGCTATAATATAATATATAAAAGAACATAAATTTTTTTTTATAAATTGAGTTAATTTATTGGTTCAATTAAAATTATATTAAGATGAATCGAGTAGTTTTTAATTAAATATTTAAAAAATAAGTTATTAAATATTTAATTTAGCAAATTGAGCAAATATTTCATAGAAAATAATTATTCTCCATCTATAATTTTTTTATGTATATAAATTGATATTTAATTTTGTTAATTCTTAACCAAAAAAATCCTAATTAAAGCTTTTTTTCTCAGAAAAAAAACAAAATAATATTTCACAAAAACTTAAATTTAAAGTTTTTTTAAAATTATTATTATACGAAAGAAATTAGATTAAATAATAAAAACTCATTAAATAGAAAAAATACTTTTCATATTCCTTCCCCATTATATTTAAATTAAATAGAAAAATAAATAAATAAATAAATAAAAAGCTTTTCAAAAAGCTTTAAAAAAAATTAAAAAAATTAAAAAAAGTGAAAAAGAAAAGGCAAAAGAGATAATTACCTCTTTAGCATTGGGGTTGACAGGAGCCACATAACGGTTACCCTGGCTGTTAATAGTGGGGCGAGCACTGCCGCCAATGGCGTACATTTCCCAAGCCGTGAAGTCATTGTTGACCACATGAATGTAGCCATGTCTGCACCTCGGCATGCGCTGCACCAGAGCCTCACCGAAGTGGTTGAACGCTATGGTCACTTGCATTCCCGAGTCCTGCACGTACCGGTCGTCGTGTCCCAGCAGCATCACCTCGTCGTGGTGCGAAAAATAGCTGTTCGATATTGTTATCCCTGTCGATCCCATTATTGCGTCTATTAGCCCGTCGGTGCAGTATGAAAGCGAGCAATGGTCTATCCAAATCTTTCTTGAGCTGAATATCGAGATCCCGTCCCCGTCCGATAGCCCTCGGTGCCCGACGTGGGTCGGGGTTGATCTTTCGATCATTATCGTAACTTATCAGAATAAAATATTATGAAATTTGATTTAAGATATAAATTAGTTGTGAAATGTATTTTATATAGTTGTTATAAGATCCAAGTCAATGGAGAGAAATAACAAAACACTTTTGATGGGAAGCCCGAAAGGGAAAGTCCAGGACAATAATATTTAGTAGGAGTGGATTTGGACAGTTACAAATGGTATTAGAGACAGACATTGGGTGGGTGATGTGTCAATGAGGAGGCTGAGCTTCGAAGGGGGTGGACATCCGGTGGTGTGCCAACGAGGCTGAGCTCCAAAGGGGTGGACCCAAAGCGGTGTATTAGCAAAAAGGTTGAGTTCCGAAGGGGGTGGACATGAGGCAGTGTGCCAACAAGGACATTGGACCTCGAAGGGGATTGAATTGCGGGGAGTCCCACATCGATCGGAGAATGGAACAAGTGCGAGTAAGGACGCTGAGTTCCGAAGAGTTGGATTGTAAGATCCCAGGTTGGTTTGACAGGAGAACAAAACACTCTTTATAAGGTATAGAAACGACTCGAGAAAGCTTAAAGAATAACAAAACACCCTTTATAAGGTGTAGAAACGGCTCGGGAAACCTCAAAGCAAGACAATATCTCAAAGCATATCGAGATCCAACTTTTAATTCACTCTTGTTTATTATTTTTAACAAAAAAAATATATTAATTTTAAGAAATAAAGTATAGATTTACGGACCTTATGTTGGCATTGCCAGAGGGTACACAGTGATGCACGTGGATGTTGTGGATGATGATGTTGGACACGTATTGGATAGTGATACAACCACCGCCGGTGATGTGGACGTTGGCGCCACGGCCGTCGATCGTTTTGAAGCTGTTGATGATAAGTTCATATTTGAGTTTGATTGTCATGTCGGCGGAGAAGATGATCCAGAGTGGTTCGAATTGGATCACGGCGTGGCGGAGGGTTCCCGGAGTTGGGTTTTCCGGGTTGGAATCTGAGGAGTCGGTGACGATGTAGATCTTGCCGCCTTTGCCACCCATGGCGTCGCGGCCAAATCCGATGCCGCAGTCGGCGAGTCTCTGCCGGTTCGCCGCCCAATTTGGGTCGCAACGCCAGCAATCGTCGATGGGGTTTCCGGTGAGGCAAGAGAAGGCTTGATCCTTTGATTCGATGGATAGCGCTTTTCTTCTCGATATCGATGCATTGACTGTCCTGTGAGGGAAACAGAGGCGTGAGTTGCAGAGAAACAGAGGAATGCTCTGTTTTTGTTTGGACGGTGAGAAAATGCAGGAAAATGCAAGAAAATGCAGGAAAATTTCAAATGGGATTTTGAAAACAGACAGTTTTAGAGAAACCCAAATGTAAAAACAAAGAATCGAGACACGTGAACTCTCCAGCAAGAAAAGGATAAGAAAACAGAGCAATGCTCTGTTTCTGTTTGGATGGCGAGAAAATGCAGGAAAACGCAAGAAAATGCAGGAAAATTTCAGATGGGTTCGTCCAAACCCAAGTGAAAAACAACACAAGAACAAAAAAGACACATTCCTCCCCTCGATCGAACGCTTGTTCATCAACAAAAACAGATTAAAAAAGAATTCTAAAAGAAACCCAATAAAAGAAGCTGAAAATTTTCAGTTTACCTTTGAAGTTCATCAGCAACAGAATCAGGGTCAGGATGCTGGTGGGGCAATGTGAGATTGAAAGAAGCCAAGGCGACAAGAAAGAACAAACCAGACATCCATATCAAGAGAATGCTAAGAACAGGAAACATTCTCGAACGAACAACAAAAATGGAAGCTGATCGGACGAGGAATTTGAGGATGTTTCTGGGCGTTGTTCTGTGGTATTAATCGAAGAAAAAGAGACTGTTTTGAAACAAGTTTAGTATCTGAAACATCAACAAAAACATGGCTGCTAAGAGAGCCTAAATCCAGAGAGAATGTGAGAATGGTGGGTGAGTTTAAATAATTATATTAAGAAAAGGCTTAAAAAAGGTTACTTTCTTGGTGGGGTTTTAGGGTTTTTAGATCATGAAGAAAAAAAAATGAAGAAATTTCAATTACTTCCCTTTTCCATTCTTAACTTGTTAGTAAATTATTCTTAGTATCGAGAAAAAGGCAGTTTAAAATAATGCAAATGGTTTAAGACGAAAGTCAAATATGATCAAAAACATATATTCTCGATGAAAGGTAAGGAATTTCTCGAGAGATCCCGAAATTGAAAATAATGCATATGGTTTAAAACGAGAGTCAACCCTGATTAAAACATATATGCTCGATGAAAGGTAAGGAATTTCTCGAGAGATTCCGTGAAGAAATGCAGCTTAAAATAATGTAAATGATTTAAAACGAGAGTCAAATGTGATTAAAACATATATTCTCGATGAAAGGTAGGAAATTTATCGAGAGATTTTATCCAAAAAATCGTGAAACCTCGATATATCTTTTCCCGAAACCCTAAAAATGAAAAAGAAAAGTGAATGGATTTAGATTCTTTGGAGGGTGGCTGAAAAAATGCATATTCTTGTTCTAGAAATGACAAGCCTTCCCTTCTTTTTTTATAGGCATACTTTATTTCACACTCTTCTCTTCAAAAGATTCCTCACATTGCTATCTTCTTTCTTCTTATCAACAAAAGGGTTCGTGTTGATCTAACTTTATGTTTGGAAATGTGTTTTTCATTTATCGAAAGTAAATCGTGTCATAAAGTGGTAGGAATTATTCATGTTCTTTATACAGGGGTAGATTCGTAAAAATAGCATCTTATTTTTGTTCGTGGTTCAAATTAGGGTTAGGAGTAACGATTTAAATTTTGGGTCAAAATTTGTTTTCCATTTATCAAAAGTAAATCGTGTAATAAAATAGTAAGAATTATTCATCGTTCTTTATACAAGGGTAAATTCGTAAAATAGCATTTTATTTTCGTTCGTGGTTCTAATTAGGGTTAGGAGCAACGATTCAATTTCGAATCAAATTTTGTTTTTCATTTATCGAAAGTAAATCGTGTAATAAAGTGGTAGGAACTATTCAACGTTCTTTATACATGAGTAGATTCGTAAAAATAGCATCTTATTTTCGTTCGTGCTTCAAATTAGGGTTAGGAGCAACATTTTAAATTTCGGGTCAATTTTTTTTTTTCATTTATCGAAAGTAAATCGTGTATTAAAGGGGTAGGAATTATTTATCGTTCTTTATATAGGGGTATTTTCATAAAATTAGCATTTTATTTTCGTTCGTGGTTCAAATTAGGGTTATGAGCAACAATTTAAATTTCGGGTCAATTTTTTTTTTCATTTATCAAAAGTAAATCGTGTAATAAAGTAGTAGGAATTATTCATCGTTCTTTATATGGGGGTAGATTCGTAAAAATAGCATCTTATTTTCGTTCATGGATCAAATTAGGGTTAGGAGCAACGATTTCAATTTCAAATCAAAATTTGTTTTTCATTTATTGAAAGTAAATCGTGTAATAAAGTAGTAGGAATTATTCATCGTTCTTTATATGAGGGTAGATTCGTAAAATTAGCATATTATTTTCGTTTGTTGTTTAAATTAGGGTTAGAAGCAACGATTCGAATTTCATATCAAAATTAGTTTTTCACTTGTCAAAAGTAAGAGGAATTATTCCTCATTCGGGTAAGAGGGTAGTTTAGTAAAAATACTGTCTCAATTTCTTTTGTCGATCAAATTAGGGATAGGAGCAAAAATTCAAATTTCATCTCGAAATTTGTTTTTCATTAATCCTCCTCATTCTTGATATGGGGGCAGTTTCGTAAAATAGCATATTAGAGTCACAAGCGGAATCTCACAATAAATGATATCAGAGTCAGATATTGGACGATGTGCCAACAGACACATTAAGTCCCCAAGGAGAGTAAATTGTGAGATTCCATATCGATTCGGGAGGGAAATGAAACATTCCCTAAAAGGGTGTGGAAACCTCTCTCTTATAAACACATTTTAAAACCGTGNGGGGTTTTAGGGTTTTTAGATCATGAAGAAAAAAAAATGAAGAAATTTCAATTACTTCCCTTTTCCATTCTTAACTTGTTAGTAAATTATTCTTAGTATCGAGAAAAAGGCAGTTTAAAATAATGCAAATGGTTTAAGACGAAAGTCAAATATGATCAAAAACATATATTCTCGATGAAAGGTAAGGAATTTCTCGAGAGATCCCGAAATTGAAAATAATGCATATGGTTTAAAACGAGAGTCAACCCTGATTAAAACATATATGCTCGATGAAAGGTAAGGAATTTCTCGAGAGATTCCGTGAAGAAATGCAGCTTAAAATAATGTAAATGATTTAAAACGAGAGTCAAATGTGATTAAAACATATATTCTCGATGAAAGGTAGGAAATTTATCGAGAGATTTTATCCAAAAAATCGTGAAACCTCGATATATCTTTTCCCGAAACCCTAAAAATGAAAAAGAAAAGTGAATGGATTTAGATTCTTTGGAGGGTGGCTGAAAAAATGCATATTCTTGTTCTAGAAATGACAAGCCTTCCCTTCTTTTTTTATAGGCATACTTTATTTCACACTCTTCTCTTCAAAAGATTCCTCACATTGCTATCTTCTTTCTTCTTATCAACAAAAGGGTTCGTGTTGATCTAACTTTATGTTTGGAAATGTGTTTTTCATTTATCGAAAGTAAATCGTGTCATAAAGTGGTAGGAATTATTCATGTTCTTTATACAGGGGTAGATTCGTAAAAATAGCATCTTATTTTTGTTCGTGGTTCAAATTAGGGTTAGGAGTAACGATTTAAATTTTGGGTCAAAATTTGTTTTCCATTTATCAAAAGTAAATCGTGTAATAAAATAGTAAGAATTATTCATCGTTCTTTATACAAGGGTAAATTCGTAAAATAGCATTTTATTTTCGTTCGTGGTTCTAATTAGGGTTAGGAGCAACGATTCAATTTCGAATCAAATTTTGTTTTTCATTTATCGAAAGTAAATCGTGTAATAAAGTGGTAGGAACTATTCAACGTTCTTTATACATGAGTAGATTCGTAAAAATAGCATCTTATTTTCGTTCGTGCTTCAAATTAGGGTTAGGAGCAACATTTTAAATTTCGGGTCAATTTTTTTTTTTCATTTATCGAAAGTAAATCGTGTATTAAAGGGGTAGGAATTATTTATCGTTCTTTATATAGGGGTATTTTCATAAAATTAGCATTTTATTTTCGTTCGTGGTTCAAATTAGGGTTATGAGCAACAATTTAAATTTCGGGTCAATTTTTTTTTTCATTTATCAAAAGTAAATCGTGTAATAAAGTAGTAGGAATTATTCATCGTTCTTTATATGGGGGTAGATTCGTAAAAATAGCATCTTATTTTCGTTCATGGATCAAATTAGGGTTAGGAGCAACGATTTCAATTTCAAATCAAAATTTGTTTTTCATTTATTGAAAGTAAATCGTGTAATAAAGTAGTAGGAATTATTCATCGTTCTTTATATGAGGGTAGATTCGTAAAATTAGCATATTATTTTCGTTTGTTGTTTAAATTAGGGTTAGAAGCAACGATTCGAATTTCATATCAAAATTAGTTTTTCACTTGTCAAAAGTAAGAGGAATTATTCAGAAGCAACGATTCGAATTTCATATCAAAATTAGTTTTTCACTTGTCAAAAGTAAGAGGAATTATTCCTCATTCGGGTAAGAGGGTAGTTTAGTAAAAATACTGTCTCAATTTCTTTTGTCGATCAAATTAGGGATAGGAGCAAAAATTCAAATTTCATCTCGAAATTTGTTTTTCATTTCTTTTGTCGATCAAATTAGGGATAGGAGCAAAAATTCAAATTTCATCTCGAAATTTGTTTTTCATTAATCCTCCTCATTCTTGATATGGGGGCAGTTTCGTAAAATAGCATATTAGAGTCACAGGCTGAATCTCACAATAAATGATATCAGAGTCAGATACTGAACGATGTGCCAACAGACACATTAAGTCCCCAAGGAGAGTAAATTGTGAGATTCCATATCGATTGGGGAGGAAAATGAAACATTCCCTAAAAGGGTGTAGAAACCTCTCCCTCGTAAACACATTTTAAAACCGTGAGGCTCACAACGATACGTAACAGACCAAAGCAGATCTACTAGCAATAACCTTAGACTGTTACAATCTCANTCCGCTTTTTTTTTTTTTTTTTTTTTTTTTTTTTGTTAATGATTAAAAAAATTATACTTATCCACAATACATGTTACATTAATAATTAAAATCTTATAAATCTCAAATATCAAACATTAACAAGTCACAACGCATCACTAACATCGATTACAAACATCAAATATTCTTAATTCTCGTAATAATCTTAAAAGCAGGATAAGGTAGAATTGGGTCGTAACTCTATTTTTCAGCCCGATAAAAAATGTTTTATATATATATATATATATATATATATATATATATATATATATATATATAT